AAAGATGATCATTGTCATCCCTAAGGGAAACCTGATATTTAACCATAAATGTTCTCTGTTGGGAACATTAATTAAGCCTATAAGGGGCATACGAGGGAGAGTTTTCTGCAATTATCTATTCTGTTTCAGATTTGGTGGAAGCAGCAATAGTCTGCTTGGAACCAATGCAGTCCCAGAAGACATTAATTTTAAAGCCTACTGAATGCAAGTCTCTGAAATTATAAAGAAGACACCGTCCTACAATTTGGCGGTGGCGGGGAGGAGAAGGGCTCCAAACATGGAGAGATCCCAAACATGACAAATGCTGTGAACTGGCCCGAAGTTATCTAAAGTAAGCCAGGTGACTAATTTTTCTTGGCTGGTGTGGGAAAGTTTCATCGCTGTGATAAAGGACATTTGAGCTGAGCCTTAAAAGATGTGTAGTTCTACTTAATAAGGGGAGGAATAAGGGCATTCCAAACAGAGCGACTTCCAGTCCTGGAAATTACTCCTTTGAGTGGGCCTGACATGTTGCAAAGCATCAGAGACACCTGGAAGTGATGTGGCATCAGAGCAAGAGATCTGGATTGATGTTAGCTAGCTCCTTAAGAGCTTTGCAGCTTTAGGTAAGGTGATACAACTAAGGCGCAGTAGGGTCGCTGTAAGGATGAAACGATGCAACCTTCAGGAAGTGCAGAGCACACCGCAGACGATCAATAAGCATTCGCTCCCTTTCCCTGGGTGGAAGAACCTTAGCAGGTCCACGGCACCACGGCTCTTCTGATAAGACTGTCCACACAGGTGAAGAGGTTCACATTACCTGGGTGTCCCGGCTTGCCATAAATGAAGCCTTTCTTTGTGAGATCAGAAGAACGCTGCCATCCAACTGCGGGGGAAAGAAACCACTCACTGACTTTTGGGTAGAAAAGGAGCCAGGGCTCAGAGTGGGGCAAGACGGAGCGAAGTAGAGGAGGCAGGACGGGTACAAAGGAGAGGCCTGGAGATCCGGTGGAAGGAACCCCACCTCCTGTGAGGTACCAGAGCACCGCGAAGAGTAGGACCCACGCCCGCATCACGACTCAGGGACTAGCGTCGGGGCAGGCGTCGAAGGGCGGACTCCTTCCCACCTCTGCCCAGGCCCAACGTCTCCCCATCTCTCCACCACACTGCGGGGCAAACCGCCTACGTTTGCTCCTCTACCGGTCCGTAGTTACCACGGAAGCGGATGCGCAGGAGAGCGCTTGTGTACCCTGGAGGCTCGCGCCCGGGGGCGGGGCGAGAGGGAGCTGGGCCCCTGAGTGGGAGGCCAGCGCCCCGCCCCCTTGCACGCACGCGGCCGCCGGCGTGCCTCGGCTTCGCACCTCGCTTTTGCCGCCATTTTCCGGTGCTCTGGACGTCCTAACACTCTGAGCAGCTTCTGTGAGAAGAAAAGAGTAAAGGGAAAGAACGTAAGCCTTGGCGTTTCGGTCACTTCCATGGTCTGGGGGCTGATGAACTTGACGAGAGGAACACCTCGCGTCCCAAGTATGGCGGTCGGGTAGGGCGGGGAGGGGATGCCATTACATTAGTACCGGAGGAAGAGAGAAGTGTGTGAGAATTTTTTCCTCACAGGAAGCAGAGAGCCCCGCGTGGGCACTTCCTATGCCTTTCTTCTCGTGAACTCAGTCTGAAACTGTGTACACCCTTTTCAAACTCTTACACCCAGTTTTTACCAAACTGCAGTCTTCTACACACAGATTGAAGAACGTGAAGAACCACCAGTACAGACGACAAGGCATCTCCAGGCCTTCCCACTCTAGAGGAACATGTAATCATCATTTTCAACTTCAGGCAGCAGACGACATTGAGAGACCCCGCATGCAAATATATCTAGGGTTGTGTAGTCATCTTGCTTTTAGAAATGGGCCCTATTGAAAGGCAAGATCCCCAAATCTGCTTTTCCTGTGGAGATGGTTGATAAGTCAACATCAGAAAGCTCCAAAAGAGACCATGCCTGTGTCTTTCATGGTTCCTTCCTGGCTACTTATTTGTTGGCCTGAAACGCCCTGTGTGATGTCTATTTTTCAGCAGTGGGACACCCCCAGTCGTGGTTTTGAGTAGGCTGGTGGGTAGAGAGCCCAAGGTTCAGACAGGGTGCAGAATGATTATTTGGGGTGAGATCAAGAGGCTTTTCTTTTCTTTCTTTTTTTTTCAGTTTTATTTCCTTTGAGCACAGTCAGTACTTGGACTATCTCAGATGGTCCGGGAGCAACCTTTGTCAGTGATTTCATTTTTAGTCACTGTTAATTTTACCTACATAGCATAAGCCATGAAATGTGATTCAGTGAGTCAGATCCACCCATGTCAGTTACCATGTCTAGATTCATCGTTTTGCCTCAACTTTTGTTTCTTAATGTGATGGTATTGAAGACAAATTCAGGCATTGTGTTTGATTCCCTAGAAGTTTATCATTCCAGTTTTAGTCAAAGTACATTATAAATCCTGTGTTTTAATTAGTTTTCCAATTATCATAAGAATCGATCCTTGCAAATCCTGTGTGATAAACTTCGGATACTATAAGAAGGGACTTACCAATGAGTAGTAGTTGTTTGTTGAAAGTACCCATACACTTTTAAAATAGACTTTTAATTTTAGAAGTTTTAAATTTACAGAAAAATTGCAAAGATAGTACAGAGAGTTCTCATGTATTCCCACTGAGTTTTCCTTACTACTGACATCTTACATTAGTGTGGTACATTTCTCATAATTAATGAACCCATATTAATACATTACTACTAAATAAAATCCATACTTTATTCAGACTTCCTTAGTTTTTAGATAATGTCCTTTTTTCTGCTCCAGGATCCCATCTGGAATCCCACATTACATTTAGTCATCATGTCTCCTTAGGTTCCTCTTGGCTGTAACAGTTTCTCAGACATTTCTTGTTTTTCATGACCTTGACAGTTAATGACAGTTTTGATGACATTGACCTGACCTTAACTAGTTGGGCATTTTTCTGGGCAAAAGCCTCCCTGTTGAAATTTGTCTGATGTTTTTCTCATTATTAGACTAGGGTTGTGGTTTTGAGGGTAGAAGATTACAGAGGTAAAATGCAATTGTCATCACATCAAGTGTACATTCTATCAACATGTCTTATCACTGTTAATGTTACCTTGGTCACCTAGCTGAGGTAGTGTTTGTCAGGTTTCTCTACTATATAGTTACTCCCGCCATCCTTTTCAAATGGTACTCTTTGGAAGAAAGTCACTATGTGAAACCCACACTTAAGGAGTGGGGAGTTATGCTCCACCTCCTTGAGGGTAGAGTGGCTACATAAATTATTTTACCGATTTACTTTTTATCTATCCCCTTAGGTATCACTCTCTGAAGTCTGAAATACTCATTTCTGAATTATTTTACAGAGTAGTAACACATTCCACTGTTAAGTTTAAAGAACACTGTCATGGAAGATAATAAAAGATTTTTAAATAACGTTTTAATAACCAAATAACTATTCATCCTTACACCATCCCTGTGAAATTTTACAGTTCCTCTTCTGCTACTTTTGATGTGCTATTTTTGCTTTTAGAAACTAACAAACAACAAATTTCCCCTTTCAATACTAAAATTAGACCTAGTGTTTAGAATATTTCTCTGAAATTGATATTATCCTGTAGAATTCCAACACATACAAGTTATAGAGATGCTGCCAAGGTACCATGATCTTAAAACAAAGCTAATGCAAGGTATTCACTCATTTTCATTTATTCATTCACTCAAATCACACATACATACACATATGTGTGTATATATAGACACATCTCTCTCTGTCTCTCTCTCTCTCTGTCTCTCTCTCTCTCTCTCTCTCTCTCTCTCTCTCTATATATATATATATATATATATACACACACTATACCAAGGCATATTTAAAATAAACTAAAATTTATAAAATTACAAGACACGTACTTTAACTCGTAAGTTTGGGTTTCTTCTGATACCGTCTGCTGATGCACAAACCCCCAGCCTAAGTCTCAAATATATTTTATACACCAACACTATAACTTTCTACAAAGAATGGAAGTGGCCTTTTTGAGGATCATTCACATGTTGTCCAATTCAGCACACTGAGTATCTTTATAAGGATTCACCTGAACAATAGAGGTCCCTTAGACCTCAGTGTGAAGAAAAGCTCTGCCTTGAAAAACTATTATGTGGTCACTTCCCCGTTCCTCTCCTTACAGTTAAATGTGTGCTTTACTTCTATAAAGGGGGGAGGATGTTGGAAAAAGATGTTTACTGGAACATCTCTGTGTACTAACATCTTTGAGTTAATGTTACTATCTTATCACTCCCCCCTTTTGCTCTACTTTACTTACTTTACTTTTCTGATTATATATATATATATATATATATATATATATATATATATATATATATATATATATATATATATATATATGATACATGATGTCTCAGATCCTGTTTGGAAGAAAGTGGGGTAATAGAAAATTAACACAAGCAGTTCCCAGGTAGAAAAACAAAAGTGAGAGAATTGCTTCCAAAAATGAAAAGTTGAGTTGATAAAAGTGCCAAAATCATTTTTGAACTATCTTAGAACTTTATGAAAACTTGGACCAAGAACTTTTATCCTGTGAAATGAAAAACTGAGGAAGAGAAACATACTTCAAATAAAGTAAATTCTCACTGATGATATTCATGGCTATTATTCCCAAATCTACACTAAAAGCTATAGATCTTGCTCAATTTAAGACAAACTTCTTTGAACTTAAATTTGCAAATAAATAAGCAATTCAGACACTCCCCCACCCCACCCATGTGATACTACTTTCCCATCCATTATCCTTCTAAAATAGACGTTTTGAGACACTTTACTGATGCCATATTTCCATCCTATGGGGTTCTCTGGTTTGACATTCAAAAAAGAGCTGGAGGCGCGGAACCTCCGCTGCTCGAGGTGAACGTCCTTTAAAGCCGCCGCCAGCCAGCGCCGCTGTAACCCCGTGCACTGGCGGGTCGCCGGCTCCTGCCCCTTTCAATCTGCGCCGACTCGGCGGCCGGATCCCGGGGACTCCCCGCGCCGGGAATCTCCCGCCAGCTGCGCGCTGCGTCCTGGCGACGGCGGGAGCACGTGGAGTGGCCGGGTAGCAAGAGCTGCAGCTCCAACCCAGTCCAGCCCAGCCCAGCCCAGCGGCGAGATGGAAGGTGAGCCTCTAGCCCTCTTCTTTCTAAGGGGTCTTTGAAAAGCTCGACCGGACACGCAGCAGAGAGAGTTCCTTCTGAATCTCGATTTTGCTTCTATTTATTTTTGTCAAAATTATATTTGCCTGTCGATTCTCATACATCTCTCATCTGTTCTCCCCCCACCCTACACACACACCTAACTTTGGAAAGTGGTAACGTCTCTGCAATTTATTAGGGCTTGTCTGTCAGACGTGAGGGGTCAACTCAAAGTCTGCAGAGGAAGAGTACTTAAGGCGCATCCCTGAAATGGCAGCAACCTAGGTCGGAATTACTAATCCTTTTGGATCTTTTCTTTTTTTTTTTCGTCCATGGCCTCAGTGTCCATTGGAATTAGGCTAATCTGAGTGACTTGTTTAGAAAGGTGACCTTTTTTCTTTCTTCTTTTAAGAGTAAATGCTGTCATATGGGAAAGGTAAATTTTAAAGTGGTTGTCACTTGCTGGTCCCTTGAAACTCGATCTTCCAATGATCCTTCATTACCCAAAGCAAAAATCAGGCTCATGTTGAGTTTCATTTGAATTAATCTTGAAAGTCATAAAACTATCCTCGCTTCTCAAAAAATTTTCAATATGTACTTCCTTGGGATAACTAAAATTTCACACGGCTATTGTAAACTTGTCAATAGATTTTTCAACAAGTGTTTCTGAAACCTTGAAAATGGCAGATGCATCTCAAGTTGGGGGAGGTGGTGAAATTTAGAAAAGAATGTGAGAAACCTTCAATTAATAAGTAAGATACTGATACCTAATTAAAATGTTAATTTGATAAATATTATGAATAGCATGGATAGTTTCTTTATAATAATAGAAGGATCTCTCATTGCCAGTGAACCTTGATCTTTGGCAGCTTTAGGTCTAGAGTATACGAAATTATTAAAGTTTGATTAAATACTTAGGGACACAAAGATAAATATGGTAATGCTTGTTTCACAATATAATTGTGTGCAGTAGTGTAGCCCTAAATCCTCAATTTGTACATGGGTATGCTAACAACTTTTTTAACTGCCTGGCCCATATATGCATTTTTTTCTCTAAGTAGAATGCCAAGTGATAAGTCAATGAACAGTATGTATTTAGTATGTGTATAGAAATTTCTAAATGGTCATTATTGAATAATGCTTCAAGTGTTTTCTCTTATGAAAAACTCTTTATGCTTTTAAATTTTAAAATTATCAGGGTTTAAAAATAGCTTAAAAATTGGCACTTTGAATATTTTTTAAATGGTTTATGAAGTGTAATTTTTAACATATAAAGGTTTCACTGGCCAAGAACAGGAAAAAAAAGAGGTTGCTGTACACTGTGAGAAATAATTTTTAAATCTCTCATGCCTTAATTATTACAAATGAATTGCTGAATTTGTTTTGTGAAGTTATAAATCAGTACTCCAACACTATTTTTTCCTAGTCTTAACCATTTCACTTCTCAAGAATAATGTACAGGATAGTGTAAATTTGTGGAAACTGGTGTGTTTCTCTGTAAATGTTAATACTACTGAATTAATTTAATGTGAAATAAAGAAATTATTACCTAAATAGCATAATTTAGGATATTAACGCCATAACAAAGACTTTTAGAAAAGCCTGGATAAAGACTCTGAATAAGGAAGAAATGAAAACAAACATGTAGAATTTAATTCAGAATGTACAGACTATAAATGGGAAAAGATACAATATAGAGTATAGGTCAGTGATCAGCTGTGAGTTTAGATGACTAGATTAAATCCATAAGTCCATAGAGATAGATGGTATATAATAGGCTTAATGCAAAAACTTCAACACTTAAATCAAAAAATAAAATTTTTAAAAAGGTTAATGATGTGAATTCAGCTATTCTAACATCAGGTCCTTGAAGACAGAGTATTTGATGTAGTAAAATATCTGGTTCATTTATAGCCCTCCCAGATTGACTAATTTGGCTCATGTGTGTGATATTTAAAATAAAGTATTTTTATATTATCTTGATATTTGGGTCTCAATCTAGAATAGAGATTTGACCTATATTGTATACCTTTCATTTCTTGACAATGTAAGAAAGTAGAATACTTCATGGAATACCTTTATTTTCTGCCTAAATTGGTGGCCAAATTAATATGCTACGGTTTATTGTGAAATGCGAAGCTGTGTAGTCAGTTATCCCTTCAGCATATAAAATCTTTTTAAATTCATTCATCAACAGACATTTATTGAGACTTTTTATGCGTGAAAATGTCAGATGAAATAAGCTTTTGAAATAGGAATCTTGTCATGTAAAGATGAAAAGAGAATGCATATAATAAATCAGGAGCTGTAACTTTTTTTCTCACAATCTGTAATCCTAAATATTTTCTATCCAAAGACTCTTTATGTTGCTATATTTTCTTTATGCTGTAATAACATCCCTTCTATCTGGTATGGTTGAGAAATGAAGTGATTCACAAATATGAATTTCACAGGCATTAGATGTTTCTCATTTAATATAAAACTTTTCTATTTAAATTTTGCCATTTACACAATATTGGATAGAGATCTTTCTAAGTGTATTTATTATACAGCCCCCTGCTTTATAAACAGGTACACAAGAGATAATTTTATCTTGGTGACCCTGGGTCACTATTCTGACCATAAGATAATGTATTGCTCTATATTATATTCTCACGGGGATTTTGAGCTGTGCAGAACTGAATGCCCCTACACTAAATATTCCCAAGTTATTGTGCAATTTTTGTTTCTTTCTTTATGTCATCTTCTACTTCTCACCACATGGCTTTTGTGGAAGCCATTTTTCATTTCAAGGTCCCTTTCTATGCTCTGGATGGTTGAGATTTACATAGATATAGCCTCCAAATGGTAGAGTTTACTAGTCCTCCATTATGAGTGGATGAAGGATGAAATGGTAAAGTTTAAAGGAACTAAGCCACAGAAAGGTCATGGGCTCCTGGTAGAACATAATTTTAGAAAAATTTCTATAATCCAATGTATTATTTCATGCTTCCATGTCTTTGCTAAAATTTTCACCCCATTCTTTACCTGATTATGCCTACTCGTCTTTCAAGACTGTTCAGGCATCATCACCATGACCTCCTTCTGATGACCTTTCCTGGTGCCTTCTGGTGGTTACACTAATCCAGTCCCTCACTCCCTCCAGCTAGGCTAGGGACCTTTCCTTTCTGTGCATACTTCTGCCAGTTGTATGAAATTATTTATTGATTTAAGCATTTGTTCTCCCATTGGTCTTTAAACTTCTTATTTTGTATGCTCAGTGCTAGGAACAGTTCCTGGTCCATAAAAGACCCTCAGAGTTTGTTGCATTCAGTTAAAAAACTAGTGCTGAAAAGTAATTTTTATTACGATGTCTTTTACTTAATTTTTGTGTATAGGAGATTGGTGCTAACAATTCTTTGATAGAACTCAGAAATTTTTTTTTTTCTTAAAGATTTTTATTGGGGATTTTGGGGGATGGGAACAGCACTGGGGAATTGGGGGAAGGGGAACAGACAAGTTGCTGTTGTTTTGTGTTTTTTTTTTGTTCTTCAGTCTAGTTGTGGAGGAGGTTGCTTCACTGGCCCAAGTTGGCACCATCATTGCGCTCTTCCCGGGCGAGGCAGATCAGTCGCCGGCTTCTGGATGGCCGCTCACTGTGGCTGCTGGCCACACACGGTAGCCCAGCTCCAAGTTGAGCTGTTCAGCATCTTAGCTGTAGAGGGCAGTGTCACTGGCCCTCATATGTGGGATCCGAACCAGGGCCCTCTGGTGTCCCAAGCCAGCTCTTAACCAACGCGCCACTTGGCTGGCCCTAGACTATCAAGTTTTAAAGTGTAGGGATCTTTATCATCCGTGATAACTAGTATCCAGCCGAGTACCCAGCACATAGTAGGACTGCAGTCATATTTATTGAATAAATTAGTGAATAAGTCGCTTGTGTGTTTGGTCATTGGACTATTTATTTGTTCAGCTTTTATGGTAAAGAGAGTAAGGAAAATAGTGACATTGAAACTAGTTAATTTTGGGGCTGGCCGAGTGGCTCAGTTGGTTAAAAGTTGGCTTAAGAGGGCGAGCTCTGAGCAACAGGGCCGCCAGTTCGATTCCCATATGGGCCAGTGACACTGCGCCTGAGCTGAGCTGTGGCTGAGCTGCCAACAGGTGGCAGGAGGGCTCAGCTGGTGTAACAACAAGATTGCCTGTTTGATGGTGGGCTATGTCCACCTGCAACTAAGACTGAACTCAGCACCTTGAGCTGAGCTGCCCCCTGGATGGCTCAGTGGATAGGGATTGCGCTCTTAACAACAAGGCTGCTGGTTCAACTCCCAAATGGGATGGTGGCTATCGCCCACCTGCAACTAAGATTGAACACAGCACCTTGAGCTTAGAGGCCACGAGCTGCCGACGGGAAGCCAGATGGTGACTGGCACCCTCCACAACAAAGATTGAAGTACAATAACTTGGCTTGTCCCCTCCCCCAACTCCCCAGTAAAATCTTTTAAAAAAAAACTAGTTAATTTTGCTGGTTAATTTTTCAGAGGTGCTGTTAAAGGTTTGGTAGTAGAGTTTGGAATGTTGGCTAAATTCAGCAGGATGAATACTACTATCCTTTTCTAATCCAGTATTGGCTCTGCTCCAGGTAAAATAATAAGGTGCATTCTGACTTTTGGATTCACTTAAAAATTTTGCTACATTACATTCTTTATTTCAGTGAAACACAGCAATTTCCACAATAAACTATTTCTTCACATCAAGTGTTTTGATTCTTAAGAATAACATTTCACTTAATTTGAGTTCTTTATCACAGCACTATCAGTTCAGTTGCAAAGTGATATCTATTTGAGAGACTATTAATTTATCAGAATATTTGGCACATCAGAACAATTTCCTGCAATAGTACTTATATAGACACTGTGAGACACTGTGGATATGATAAAGAGATATGCTTACCAACTTATAAACATATTCTATAGATGTGGAGTTACATCATAGCTGATGTATATAAT